GGGCAAACAGGTCACATGAGTGTAACTAGTCAGGGGAAGAAAGCATGAACATTCTTGAAATGACACCTTGGTAAGTGTGCACCCTAATCCCATACAAAATCATGAATGTCGACTTTTCTGAGAAATACTGGGGGTGGGGGCACCGTGGGGATGCTATGACATCCATATATACAAGATGAACTCATTGGTTCGTGCGACAAACACTAAAATGTCACTGGATGTGAGCAAACTATAAAGTGTGGTGACTATGAGCACACCATGGCAAGCTTGGTGGACATCATAGTGACACAGAGGGGATCCCAGTCTGGGGGTGTGTACACATTGTGGCAAGCAAGAGAACTAGAGGCACTGCGTGCGAACATAAGGTTGTGACGGTGGTGAATACACCGTGGGGACAGTGAGGTGACCACAGTAAGCATAGCACATCAGGCAGAGCGCTCTACTGGCATGTTTTGGGGTGTCTGCCAGACCACGGCCCATTCCCAGGGAATCTGCTCCCACCCGCGTGGAGTAAGCACATTCTTACAAGGCAGGGCGCTGACCACAGGCTGCAATGCACAGCAACCTGCGGGAGTGCATGGTCCTGAAGGTTTCTTTCTTTTTCTTTCATTTTTTAAGTTGGAGATGTTATTATGGCTCACTTTGCTCAGCTCTTCCGGGGAGTGTTGATGCAGTTACAAGGTGGGGGGAGCCGTACAGGGGTGGGTTTGCGGCAGAATAAAGGGCAGATAGACTCTGAGGCTGCCAGCTATTAAAGCGATCTCTTGATATCAAGATTCAGCTCCTGATAGCCAGGTCAGCAGTTAGACATTTCAGGTTGACTCCTATCTATTAGGAAAGGGGTGCTTATGTTTGTGGATGTATTTTTAGCGGGTACATGTCACTTTTTACTTCCCAGCATCCATTACTCCTACTCCGGTGACAGCACCACAATTTTCCTTTGAGAATAATCAGTCCATGTGATCCCAGTAGGATGATCTACTGGCTTTAGAACTAGGCTAATCAGAGCTTTCCATACCCATGGCTACAGCGACTGGGTCAGGAATGAGCCATGAGAGCCTTTCCTAGGAACAAATGAGGAAGACACTCTCTTTCCACTGGATTTGAGATGTGCTAGGAGGGAACTTAGAACTTCTGGATATACTATGTGGGAACAGCCTCTGTTCCAGTTGCTGTTGCTCTGTAACAAACTACCCCAGATTTTAGTGGCTTAAGTGGCAGTCATTTTATTATACCCCAGGAATTCTGTAGGTCAGGACTTCACATAGGGCGTGACTGGGCAATTCTGCTTTTTGTGACATTAGTTGTACTAATCTGGTAGATGAGCCAGTCTGCTCTGGAGGATCCAAGACAACTACACTCACATGTTTAGTGCCTTGGTGGTGAGGGCTAAAAGGCTGGACCCAGCTGGGAAGACCAACCAGAACACCTACACCAGTCCTCCCCGGTATGGTGGTCTCAGGGCAGCTAGACTTCTTACATGCCAGCTGGCTTTCCCCAGGACAAATGTCCCAAGAGAGCCAAGTGGAAGCTGCATGACCTTTTCTGACCTCACCTTAGAGGTCCCCCTCATTCTTGTACAAGCAAGTCATAGGCCAGCTCAGATTCAAGGGGAGGGAAATTAGATGCTACCCCTTTTTAAAATTTTTTAACTGTTATAAGAGATTATATGAGCCAAACTGATAACATATGCCAGGGAGCAAGATCTAAAATGCTCCCTAGATTCTACCTCTTGATGGTGGAATAGTGCAGTCACATTACATTGTACAAGAACGGGGGCAATGGAAGCTATCGTTGCAGCCATCGTTGGAAAATACAGCCTCCTTGAGAAAAGAGCAATCTCAGAGGAAGCAGTTGAAAAGTGGAAAGAGAGCAGTCCTTACGATGTCTGAAGTTGGATTCAATTTTTTCTCAGGAGTTCAGTTATGAGAATCTTCAGATTCCTTTTCTGCTTAAACCAATCTGAGTTGTGCTTTTGTCACTTGCAACTGAAAGGGCTTTTCCTCTTAGTGTGTACATCAATTATCTGTCACAGCATAACAGACCCCGAGAAACCTCAGCGGCTTATAATAATGACTTATTATGTCCCAGGATTCTGTGGGTTGGCTGGGCCATTCCGCTGCTGGTCTTACCTGGGCTCACTCATGCAGCTGCTGGAATGGAAAGTTCAGGATGGCTTCATTCACGTGTCTGGCTGTTGGCTGGGAGCCTTAGTTCTTGTACATGTGGTCTCTCGTTGTCCAGTAGGGTAGACAGACTCCCTCCTTCCTGGTATGGTGGGCTCAGGCCAGTGTTCTGAGAGTAAAGGTGGCAAGGTTCCTTGAGGCCTAAACTCCAGAAGTTGTAAGGCATCTCCTTTGTCATATTCCTTTGTTCAAGGCAAGTGACAAAGCCAACCCAGGTCAAAGAAGTGTGTAAATAGACTCCACCTCATAATGGGAGAGTTGCAAAGAATTTGTGACCATATTTAATCCACCATAGCTTGATAGATAGCTGGATCATGTTATATGAGAACATCTGTAGAATTAGTGTACGTATAGGAAGCAGGGAGTGTGTGCCAGGTTGTTCTAGGCATGGTTTCACTGAGAAGCAGACAGCTAGAGTGTGATTTCCATGGTGGTCCCTCTGGGCTAAGGGCCTCATGACAAAGTCTGTACCAGACCCCTGGTGCCCAGGGGCAACTTTGAGTTGAAGACCTACTGTGTCTGAGTGACTTCACTTCTATGGGCCTCAGTTTTCCTCTGTAAAATGGGTGTGATCACTCCTGCCTCACAGTTCAGCTGTGTGGCTCGAGATCAGATAATGACCATAAAGGCACTTTGTAATTTACAGAGGGCCTTGTACATGTGTCTGAACGTTATCATCTGAGACCTATGAAGGAATAATCAAGGTGGGCCTGGGTGGTCGGAGAGCGGGAGGAAGAAGAGTAAGATGGAACTGTGAAAGATGGGAATATTCATGCTGGTGGGGAAGAAGGGCTATATTTCAAATTAGGAAGCTGGGCAATACAACTATGAAGGCACAGAAGTGGAACAGTGACAGACTGTACCCAGGAAAGGAAGGAGAGCAAGGTCAGAGGGGGGGGTCTCTCCCACTGCCCTGGATTCCAGATCTCTGGGCTGCTGGGTACTGGGTCTTGCAGCCCTTGATGGTCACTCAGGGCTTCAGTCAAGTCTCCAGTCCTCAGGGATCATATGATCAGTGGCCTGTTCCTAGCCAGTCCTGCAAAGCCTCCCCAGGCCACAGGAGGGCGATGATGGGAGCATGTCACAGGAGGTCATACAGCATCTTAGAGACAGAGTGTCTTTTTCTGGAGCCACCAGCATCAGGTCAGACCCCTTCCAGGGTTCACAAGCTCCTTTCCCCTCAGGAGCATGAGAAACCCTGGCCATAAGCTTGGATCACTGGTGGCCTGGCAACACTGGGCTCTAAGCTCCCCTACCCCCAAACCCCTGGACAGGAGTGGGGTGATTGAAGGGTTTACAGTGTGTTCCAGGCAGAGACTTGGAGCTCCTACAGACTAGCCTGGCCTGCAGAAGCCCCAGGGGACCACTCATGGCTTGGGCTGACCCATCCAGGTCAGGCCCTGGACAGTCCAGACCTGTGGCTGCCTCCCAAGCCCTGTCTGTCTGTCTGTCTGTCTGTCTATCCTAGGGTTCTGGCTGAGGAGAGCAACAGCCTCTCTCTCCAAGGAGTCCCTGGAGGAGAGGTTAGGGGTAGACTCAGATTCCCCAAATCTAACAGCTCGCAGCTCAGGCCCACTTGGGGACAGGAAAGGATCGTTGTAGCCTCCCAGTGCTCAGCCTAGAGCGTCCCCGAAACAGAAGCTCATGGAAGGTGTGTGGAAAGAGAGGCTGACGCTGGTGTGGGGGCAAGGCCACAGGGGCCAGGCCTCCATCTCCAGGACCAGCATGAGGCAGGAAGACCAGTCTAGGCCAAATGAGCCTGGGAAATGAAGCAGGCTCTGGCAGCTTTTGTACACCCTCTCCATCTTCTGCCTCCAACTGGGACTCTATCCTTGTGTGGCCCATAAACCAGCAGCACCAGTAGCACCTGGGAGCTTTTAGAAATACAGTCTCAGGCCTCACCTCAGACCTACTGAATCAGAAAGTCTGGGGGTGGGCCACAGCAATCTGTATTTTAAGAAGCCTTCCAGGGGTTTCTGACAAATGCTAAAATTGTAGAACCATTGTCTGAGACAACAGGCAAGATCCTGCCGAAGGGGAGGAGGTGGGTGAAGCCCTGAACCTCAGGCAGCTGCTTACGCCACCCACGGGTAGGACTGGCTGCTCACATGCTGGTGGATGCCTGTACCCCGTCAGACGCATACTCACAGACCAGCAAGGGTCTCAGAGGGTCCACAGGCAGGGCCTCTGGGGTCCGGTGGTCATGGACAGGCACCCAGATGGAAGTAAGTGAGGCCAGGGAAGAGCTGTTCTCACCAGGTGACTTCCTGTGTCCCACAATTCCTTTGCCCCTTGTCCCCTCTGAGGTTCTCTGAGTGCACCCTCAGAGGCCAGAGACGCTGAGTAGCTGTCCAATTCCAACCAGGCATCCCCAGCTGAAAGGTCAGGTGGCCTGTGTGCCTAAGAGATTTTGGAGTACACGATAAAACCAACAAAGTCCTTTCTCTGCGTGAGTGGGCCACGGCCAGGGAAATGTGGGGGATCAGCAAGCAAAGTTTCGGCAAGAGCACACCATCCCCTGAGCCATGAAAGCCTGCCCAGATGTAGAATTCCCCTTGGCCCCTTCCCAGGGCTGCTGTCAGTGCCCACCCCAGCTCCCCACCCATCTCCTTGCTCTGGCCTGTGGAGCCCCAGGCCGCTATCCACTTGGCCCATCACCAGTCCCTGCGGCATCTTCCCATAAGGATCTGGAAGTGAAATCCCAGCCTCTGGGAGCTGCCTAGGATGTGGGGAGGGGAGAGAGAGGCTGAGCTTCCTTATACTCAGATCTGGTTTCGCCGCTTCCCGTGGCGCACTGCCACAGGCTGAGCCACCAGCTGTGCTATATAAGGCCCGGAGGCTGGACCGCGGGAGAGACGAAGACTTGGACCCCCCAGCTGAGGAGTCCTGCTCAGGACACGGTGAGCCCCACTCCCATTCTCCTCACCCCACCCCTGCACCCTCTGCCCTGCTCAGCTATTCCTGCCCTCCCCTGATCACCCCTCAGCTCCCCCAAAGGAGACCCCCCCTTTCTGCTTCGGAGTTCTGTCTTTCCCCCCATTGGCGCAGAGTCCTCTCCTTCCCCCATCTGAGGTCAGGGGCCCTCAAACGACCCCAGTCAGGATCTTCGTGGCTCTGGGCGCCCTGCTTCTTTCCTGCGGTCAGCCAGTCTGCTTTGTCCGAGAGTTCTGAGGAGTGTGGGATGGGGAGCCTACCCAGCAGACATGTGCCGAGGAAACTTCGGTGGGCTGCCAGATGGGAAATGGTTTTTCCACAAGGTGCCTCAGGCCACCTTGGCCTCCCAGACAGTCCTGGAGCGGAGCAGTCTCAGACTGCGTACGGTGCAGGCCCGGAGTGCTCTGTTCCCTGCTCAGAGCCGGAGCTTGGGGTAAGACACACAATAGCTGGAGACCTTGGAAGGCCCATGCTGCTGTTCCCTGGACTGAGAAACAGCTGCTGGGGGGATAGTAGGCTTGGAAGTAGATGGTCTGTGATGTGGGATTGGTCTGTTTTCTTCTGGGACAGCACAGTACTTTCAAATCTTTTTTCCAGAAAGGAGGAATCTCCCCCTTCCCACTATACCCTAGACTTTGGAGGATGAAGGGAACCAATTTTGAATCTCTAAGAACTGGTCAGATTCTGGGTTGACTAGAGCTCTGGGGAGAGAGAACAGGAGCCTGGGCCATGCCCCATGGGCCCTCGTTCTTATTGCCAGGCTACTTTCCTCTTCCCGCTCCTGCAGCCTCTAACCCACAGTCAGCAGTTATTGGGGAGCCCTGGACTCTCACAGTGCACCCTCCTGCTCTCCTGCAGTGGGCTCCTGGCTGTGTAACTCTCAGCCAGACCCCAAACAAACCAGCCAGAAATGTGTTTCAGCACCAGCCTGTGCACATCTGGGAATGTGTTCATGGAGGTGGTATATCCGAAGCATCTGTACCCTCCAGCTTGTCTGCCCTGTGAGAGGCCACTGTAGTTGGGGCTGGGGCTTCATAGCCTTAATATGTAGCCCCTTTACGAAACAGTGTGAGCCCCACCAAAGGGTAGCAAAACATGCCCCCACGCCCAGGTCTTGGAAGTAATTAATGAGTCACCCAGAAGTTGCTGGGAGTGAGCCCAGGCCCCTCCTCATTGGCAAGGAACCTACTCTCCCTTGTGCCCCACTTCGAGAGATGTGGGGCCCTGGTGCCTGGATCCCGGGGGTGAATTCAGGTCTGCCTCATTTGAACTCAGATGCTGAGCCTCTGCACCTCCCTAGCTGCCTGAATTTGCAACTTTGGCAGGTGTCACCTTCCACAAGACTTCATTCTGTTCACCCTTTCACCCTCGATAGGTCAAGAAATAATTCTGCTGAAGCCATAAGAGGTGACTCAGAAATGTGGGACCTGACAAGCTTTGTTTCTTTGCAGGTTATTGGATCAGAGAAGCTTCCTAGGGGACTGAGTTCCAGGGACAACCTGACTCTGTGAAGCACCTTCACCCATCTTCCGTCATGTTCCCCACAGAACCTGGGGGAAAGATGATGGGGACCAAGGCCTGGGTGTTCTTCTTCCTGGTCCTGGAGGTCACCTCTGTGTTGGGTACAGGCTAAGTATCTACTGTCTCTCCAATCCCTGACTTGACATAGTGAAGTCATGTCTGATTTGGGACTCAACTATGCATCTGCCTTAAGACCTGAGGCTGGTTTATAGATGTATTCAAATTTTATACCCTGCTTATTTCCCCAAAGGATTTGAGATATTTCCCAATATTAGAACTCACAGGATAGAATCTTTAAGTGAGGAGAAGCATGTCATTCAGAGGGAGGGAAAGAGATAAGAGGGTTTCCACCCCTGAGTGATAAATTTAGCTCTGAGCTTCCTGGCAGCCAAAGCAAAAGGAAATCGCAAGGGATCACTTTCTCAGAAGCAGGTTTGGGGTTCGATCTGTTTTTAGTTTCATGAAAGTTCTTTTGGCCTAAAGCTCAGTTTCATTTAGACCCTGCAGCCAAATTTCACAGACATGAGAACCCCTTCTGATCTCCTTGTCCTCTAACCCCATCTTCTGGTGACACTGAGTTCTTGAAGGAATAGGTAGAGAGAATTTGCTTAATAGACTCTCCAAGGCATCTAAGTGTCAGAGCTCCCAGCACTACCCTGTATACTCTCTCCCATCTCCCCTTTCTCTCCTGATTTCTAACCACACATTCAGTTAAAGAAAAAATGCTCAAACCCCTCTTTTAAAGCTGCATGCCCCGCAGGCTTTATGACCACAGATGCAAGAACAAAGACTGGCTCAGTGTCTTGCCAGGCCCTCTGTGTGCCCACCTCCTGCCTTGCTCTTTTCACCCTGACAGCTGCTGCTTGTGTTGATGATTAAAATTCAGCCATCTGAGGGGAAATCAGAGTCGTTTGATTAAAAGAGCTCCTACCACCCCAATTAAACGGCATAGAGAATTCTGATTTGGCTCCTCACATGAGAGTTAATTGCCTTTCAAAGCTTTTGCAACCCTCTGCTCTCCTTTCTCCTTCCTAGTCTGGAGCCCCAACCCCGCCTCAGGTGGGCGGGGCTGGAAACTGCCTTATACCCATCCTCAGGCAGACCTTGCCCCCTGGGGTCAGAAAATTGAGGCCTACTGCCCCAATTAGGCCAAATAAGTTCTTTAGGGGGAGGGTAGGCTCTCAAAGCCAAACTTTGTCAAGGGAAGGGAAATGGACATCTATTGTCCAGGCATTGAGCTAATAGGAGTTGCCAACGCTTATTCAGCAAGCACTATACACTAGGCATTGTTCTAAGTGGATTTTATGAATGAGTCTATCTAATCCCCACAATCCTCTGAGGCAGGAACTATTATCCTCAATTTATGATGAGAGAATGGGGACCAGATGAGTTAAGTATTTGACCCAAGGTCACACAGTTAGGAAGTGGCAGAGTCTCTGGATATCATGCTCTCAATCTTCTCATACTTTATTTATTTATTTAATCCTCACCTGAGGATATTTATTCCGTTGCTTTTCAGAGAGAGTGGAAGGGAGAGAGAGAGAAATATCGATGTGAGAGAGACGCATTGATTGGTTGCCTCCTGCACATGCCCTCACTGGGGATCGAGCCTGCAACCAAGGCACCTGCCCTTGGCCAGAATCAAACTGGGGACCCTTCAGTCCACAGGCCAACACTCTAACCACTGAGCCAAACTGGATAGGGCATCTCATACTTTAGAGATGTTCACTTATCTTACCTCATGGACTCCTCATGCCAACTGGATCACCCTATGAGGTGAGAATTAAACCTCCATCTTGCAAATGAGGACAATAAGGCTCCATTCTGGCAGGGACAGGCCCAGACCCTAATGAAGGAGCTCCCACCCACTGGCTGCTCCACATCATCTAAAGATCCATTTCTAGAACAAGATAGAAAAGAGAATGGCCATTTGTTGACCATGCACTACATGCCGGCTCCCTTTTCACTTATTATTGCCCTGAATATGCCCCAGGACCCTATGATGTAGCGATTCTTAATACAGCCCTATTTTATGGGGAAACGGATTTTGAAGATAAAGCTCTTACGAGGTTGCACAGCCAATGAGTGCAGAGTGGGGATTTGAACACAAGTCCTGTACTTATGCTCCATCCACTGCATCACACCGCTTCCCTGCATCTTGAGAGGCTAGTAGCTCGCTGGGCCCTGATAACTAATAATTCTGGTCTCTCACATCTCCTCCTGGCCCCCAGGGAGGCAGATGATGCTCACCCAGTCTGTGAGAAGAGTCCAGCCTGGGAAGAGGATCCTCAGCAACTTTGCCAAGCCTGTAGAGCCCCGGGAGAGTGAGTTGTGGCTGGAACTGGGCAGGGTCACGGGGGGTGTTTACTGAGTTTGGGTATAAAGTCAGGGATGCGTGGAAACCCATTTTTACAAGACATTTGGCCTACGTCTCTGTTTAGGCCAAAGGATCTAGTATATAGAACAGTCCAGAATAGTGAAGCTGCCTGATTTGTTTCAGGAATGCTGGAGGGCTTGTTGGGACCAGAGCATAGGCTGGTGGGGAGAGAGAAGGGAGACAAGAATGGGGAGATAGCAGGGGCCAGCTCATAGCACCCTAAATACTTGGTCAAGGGAGTGTTGGGAGGGGTAGGGGTGAGGTCAGAGGGAATCTTGAGGTAGAGAGACCAGGCAGGAAGCTACTGACATGGGATAGCCAGGCTGCTGAGAGCTTTCATGGAGCCCTTTGCTGGGGGGGAGGGGTGCAGAGGCAGGAGATTGGAGAGATGCTGGAGAGACAGATGTGACCGGCCCTGAGACGAATGGAGGGGGTAGGGTGGAAGCATGAGTGATATCAGGGATGACTCCAGGAGTTGAACAGGAAAATGGAAAGGGAACGGGAGCTCACCTGAGGCTCCGGGGCCTGGCTCCTCCCCCACCTGGCTCTCTCTCTCAGTTCCCGGCGAGTGGACAACCTGGTTCAACGTTGACCACCCAGGTGGGCAGGGTGACTTCGAGCGGCTGGATGCCATTCACTTCTACTATGGGGACCGTGTGTGTGCTCGGCCCCTGCGGCTGGAGGCTCGGACCACTGACTGGATGCCAGCAGGCAGCACAGGCCAGGTGGTCCATGGCAGCCTCCGTGACGGCTTCTGGTGCCTCAACAGGGAGCAGCGGCCTGGCCGGAACTGCTCCAATTACACCGTGCGCTTCCTCTGCCCGCCAGGTGAGCCTGAACAGCCCCCACCCCTCCCTGCCTCTGGCCGTGGGCACCTGGGCAGCATACATGCACATGCTTCCATCCCCTAGTAATAACACGCTAGTGTCATGAGGGCCCTCATCTTCCCGACAGTGTTCTGTTTCTGGGTCCCTTGCATTCACTCCACCTCACTGGGTGCATGTGGCATGGTGGTGAAGACCAGACTCTGGAGCTGGGCTGCTTGGTCCCAACCTGGGCCTGCCGGCTGAACTGTATTCCTTAGGCAAATATTCTGAAGCTCTCAGAGCCTCACGTTCGTCACATGTAGAACAGGGGTAGTATTAGTAAATCTTCCTAGGGTTTTTTATGAGGGTTAAGTAAGATAATGAATATAGAGGGCTTGACCCCGGTGAATGTTCACTGAGTGTTAGTTTCCACTTAGTTCCTTTGTGCCAGACACTGGGCTAGTTATTTACACCATCCGAACTTTACAACTGACCTGGGAGGAATCTCTATGTTGACAAGTTACTCGAGGGACAAGTTAGGTAACTTCTCACGATTATACATCTGTAAGTGGAGAGCTGGGGCTGAACCCATGACTGTGTCTGCAGAGTCTAAAAGTTTATGCTCTTTACATCCTCTCTCCCCACACTGGATAATACAGAGCCAGCTGCAGGCCTGCCCACTTTGTGGATGGGCACCCCCCCTTTTGGGGTTCCGCCAGCGCACACAGCCTGACCCTGCAGGCCCAGGTGACAGTGGTGGTCATCTGGAGTGGGGGCTCAGGCTGGGCAAGGTCTCTTGGGCAAGGTCTGAGGCCTCCATTCTTGCTCACAGACCTTAGTCCAGAAGTGAGGAGGGTAGGCAGAGGGGTATTTGATGTCTAAATTAGTGAAGTCCCGGGCCCTGGGGGTTGTTTCCACACTGGCGGACAGGGAAGATGGTGCTAACCCTGCACGGCCTGGGCAGCATGTCAAAGCCTCAGTGCTTGGCCAACAAAGCCCTCTCAGGGCCACCCCTTGCCCATATGGTGTCATTGTGCAAATTAGAGACCCCACTTCCTTAAGACTTTTGACTTCCTTCTGTTGGAAAAATCATTGCAGTAAATATGAATATCAGTGACATCTATAATGTGAACACAGGCCTTGTTCTCTGAGAAAAACCAGCCTCAGGGTGAGATTTCCTGACAGAGTCCCCTTGGGAGGGAAGTCAGGCTGTCTGCTGATGCTGCTTTGCAGGATCCCTGCGCCGAGACACAGATCGCACCTGGAGCTCATGGTCTCCCTGGAGCAAGTGTTCTGCTGCCTGTGGTCACACTGGGGTCCAGACCCGAACACGTACCTGCTTGGCGGAGACAGTGTCACTGTGCAGTGAGGCCACTGAGGAGGGCCGGCTCTGCATGGAACAGGCCTGTACAGGTACCACTCTTGCTCCTGGTACTGGGCAGGGAATGGGGTGGAGGCTGAAGCAGCCTAGAATAGGTTAGAGGGTCAGACTGAGATGGATTCATGCATTCATTCGTCAAGTATTAACTAAGCATCTATTATGTGCTCTGATGGGGAATATAGAGGATAATGTGGGAACACAGAGCAGGGTCCATTATCATAGCTTAGGAGAATCAAAGAGGACTTCCTAGAGACGGTGTCCTGAGCTAATTTTAAAAAAGTTGTCTTCTTTTTTTAATCCTCACCAGAGGATATTTTTCCCATTGCTTTTTCAGAGAGAGTAGAAGGCGGGGAGAGAGAGAAACATCAATGCGACAGACACATTGATTGGTTACCTCCTGAACGAACTGAGCCTGCAACTGAGGTATGTGCCCTTGGCTAGAATTGAACCTGGGACCCTTCAGTCCACAGGCCAATGCTCTAACCACTAAGCCAAACAGGCCAAGGCCTGAGCTAAGTCTTGAAAGATTGCTAGGAATTAGTCATGCAGGCTAATAAGGATGGGTAACAAAGGCCTAAGGGGGAGAGGAAGCATATGTGAGTCCACAGGCTGAGATGTGGCCAGAATTCATGTAAGCCCTCCTGATGTGGCCCCTTCTTCCATAGCCTGTGACCTGACCTGCCCCATGGGCAAGGTGAATGCTGACTGCGATGCCTGCATGTGCCAGGACTTCGTGCTGCACGGGGCTGTCTCTCTCCCTGGGGGTGCCCCAGCCTCAGGGGCCACTGTCTACCTGATGACCAAGACACTTAAGCCACTGACCCGGACGGACAGTAATGGGAGATTCCGAGTCCCTGGCTTATGCCCAGATGGCAAAAGCGTCCTGAAGATCACAAAGACCAAGTTTGCTCCCATTAAGCTCACAATGCCCAAGACTAGCCTGAAGTCAGCCACCGTCAATGCAGAGTTCATGAGGGCAGGTACTTGAGTTCTCTGGGGTGGGCTGGACTTTTACATAAGGGGATTACAGTGCTAAGAGCTGGCTTCTCAGTTTGCTCAGAGTAAAACTCAAAATCCTTACCATGACTCACAAAGCCCAACATCATCTGCCCCTCACCCCCACCCCCATTACTTCTCTATTCTCCTCTTCTATTATCCCATCTGCCCCCACTGAGTCACTCTACTCCAGCCACAGTGTCCTTCTATTTGTTCCTCAAACACACAGGCACAGTGCTGCCTCAGGGCCTTTGCACTTACTATATACTCTACTTGGAGCGTTCTTCTTCCAGATATTGGCATGGCTTGCTTCCTCAAATGAGTTCTTCCCTGGGCCATCTTATCTAAAATAGTCATTATAATACAGTGTGAGGTTTGGAAGTCAGAAAGAGAGAGAGAAGCTGGGGGAATTCAGAAATGGTACAGAATGGCCAGAAAAGTCTGCTGGAGGCAGCAGAACAGGAATGTTGCATTATTTAAAACAGCCAACTCTGCCCCAGTGGCAGTGCTTGGGAATCTTGGCTGGCACAACATCCCTTTGGTCCTCCATTGCCTCACCTAGATGCTGCTTGAGAGGCCGTGGGAGCAGGTCCTAGGCTGAGGAGGTAGAAGAGGTGGGCTCCATTCTGGATCAGTACCCTAATTAGGACCTTTAGAGAGGGGCAGGTGGGGTGTGTGTGAAGTCATACAATTTTAACACTTGTGAAAGAACCCAAGGGAGCAAGGCTCTAGAGAATCTGTCACAAAGGAAAACCCGAAATATCGTTTCTCGTCTTCTGTCCCAGAGATCCCGTACATCGTGAAGAACCCTGAGACAAAAGCACGGAGAGCTGGGCAGAGTGTGGGCCTGTGCTGTAAGGCCACGGGGAAGCCCAGTCCAGACCAGTATTTCTGGTGAGTATTCTGCTAGCTACCCTGCCCGATTCTCCTCTGGGCAACCAGAGCTTTCTTGCCTTTGGTCTGGTCTTATTAATCATAACAATAACCAACAGAATAAAGTTACAAGTTAGGCCCTGGTGCAGAGCCCAGAAGTTGGCACTTATAAGTGGGGGCTAGCAGGGTTGAGGCCACCCAGACAACCAGTAAGCCCTGTGGCGGACCTCTGGCAGCTGGGGTCCCCACAGAGTGGCTCTGGTCTCTGGGTCCTGACTTGCATGCCCTCAGGACACAGAGCAAGCTTCCGCAGCCTGCATCCCTGACAAAGGCAAACAAGCTCAGAACCTCCAGTGGCCGTGAGTCCTTTGTCCTTCACAAACATTTTACAGCTATTCTCTTGTTTGACCCTCCCAACGATTCTGTGATGTCAGCTAGGAATCGCTGCTCCCATTTTATTGCTCAGGAAGCTGAAGCTAAGAGTGGTGAGATGAGTTGTCCAAGGATCCATAGCCAGTGAGTGGTGGGGCTGAGACTCAATCAAGTCCCTTGACTCCCAGGCCAGTCAGTACTCTTGGACGAGCTATGTCAAAGGTGGCATTGGCATCTGCAGGGACCCATCCACCGTCTGTCTCTGGCTGCTTGCTTCTGGCACTACCCACTCAGGCTGCACCTCTCCATTCCTTGCAGGTATCACAACAACACGCTGCTGGACCCTTCCCTGTACAAGCATGAGAACAAGCTGATACTGAAGAACCTGCGACAGGACCAGGCTGGGGACTACTTCTGCAAGGCCCAGAGTGACGCTGGGGCTGTGAAGTCTCATATCGCCCAGCTGATTGTCATAGGTAAGCCTGTCAGGGTCCCTGAGTAACCCCTCCTGCAGGACTGGGGAGCACCCCAGTGGGCATCGCTGGGCAGTAAAACCTGCAGCTTTTCTGTGCTGTGTACAGTACTATGCCCTCTGGGACACAAAGATGTCAGAGACCCCAATCCTACCCTCATGGAGCTGCCACCCCAGGAGAGGTAAAGAATTGTAAATAAGAATTGTGAATACACAAATGCAGCTAAAATGGAGATAAGAGGCCTTGGACTCTATAGATGAGAGACAGCGACCTTCCAGGTAGGAATGGTCATGGGTGGCTGCTTGAGAGAGCAGCATTTCAACTGGGGCTTAAATAGTGGTTCTTAGCTTTGACTGCCCAGTGGGATCACCTGGTTTTGTATTTTTTTTTAAATTTTTTTTTAAAAACCTGATGCCTGGGTCTTACCCCCAGAGAGATTTATTTCATTTGCTTGGGATGTGGCCTGGGTATGCACAGTTTAAGAGCTCTCCCACATGATTCTAATTTGAAGCCAAAGTTATAAAGCTCTGGTCTTAAAGACTGGCCAGAGACTGTGTATGGAGGCGGGGGAGTTCCAGCTCAAGGCGCCAGTGTGAGCAAAGGTACAGAAGTGGGAAACTGAGGGGGCTTTACAAGAAAGGGTGACCTGATTAGAGCTGGCTTCCAGAAGTGAGCTGGAGGGGAAAGACTTGAGGCCAAAATCAATCAGGAACCTGTACTTGGAAAGTGAGGGAGAAGGAGGATAGCTTAGTAATTGGCCTAAACAAAACCAAACAAAAGGCAGAGGAAGAGAAAATTTATTGGAAGGATTCTGGAATATTTTACAGACTCCAAGAAAATTGAGCAACAGACCTCAAGACACAGGACAGTTGGACTTTGGCAACAGTGGAGCCTGGTCAGCTGTGGCTCCCAACCCGTAATACCAATGCTTCCCATTTGTCACAGTTATTTTTAATACTTTAAATTTTTAACACTTTAAAGGTACAAAATATTTTTCTATTCTGAAGTTAGATTTATAGATAATAAGTTAACTACATATAATTGCCAAGTATATATGCATACCGCCCAAACTATACCATAAAGGAGAAATAAAAAGAAAATAACTTTAATACAAAATAGTATGTATTTCAATATGTAAAGGCTTTGGCATAATTGCACAAGAATTCCAACCAAGAGGTCAGACACTTGCACTTGAATTTGGTCACTGTGAACGTGACAGCTGCAAATACTGATGGATGCAGGGGTATCATTTTGAGGGTTCACATTCCTTGGATAAGGTACATGATTTTTTCTGAGACAAGGAACAATTCTTGGTATTTTTCCAAACTAAACAAAGTACAATCTTAGCTTGATTTTTATGGTAGCTGCATTTTAAAAAAAATTTGATGTATGGTAAAGCCATGTAAAAAGATACTAGGCTCTGATCATTTCAAGCAGGGTTTCCACCTACATGAATGTCCGGTGGGGTATGTGAAAGTTATGCAGGATACAGAAAAATTCTCTGTGCAGAAAAGTACCAGGTAATGCAGATCTCAGAGCAGCAATGCCTCCACCCACTGGATGCCAGCAGCACTCCCAATTTGGGTGGTAACTCAACACACCTTCACAGATTTTCAAAATGCCTCCAGTGAGAGCCATTACTCTAGTGGTCTCAGCAACCAACTTTGTTTCTCCGTGTATTAAATGGGATTAGCAACAGCTGTTCCATCTCCGCAGAGGAGTTTGGTGAGAATTAGGATCATGAATATGCAAATACTTTGAAAACCATAAAGCACTGCAGAGAGGTGAGGTTAAGGTGCCCTTTGTTTAGGATGTGAACTTTCATTTAATAGCCACCATTTCCCTCCACAGCCCCTGATGAGGCTCCATGCAACCCAACCCCTGAGAGCTACCTTATCCGGTTGCCCCATGATTGCTTCCAGAATGCCACCAACTCCTTCTACTATGACGTGGGCCGTTGCCCTGTCAAGACCTGCGCAGGTCAGCAGGATAATGGGATCAGGTGCCGGGATGCTGTGGAGAGCTGCTGTGGCATCTCCAAAACGGAGGAGAGGGAGATCCAGTGTAGTGGGTACACACTGCCCACCAAGGTGGCCAAGGAGTGTAGCTGCCAGCGGTGTACAGAGACCCGGAGTATTGTGCGGGGCCGTGTCAGCGCCGCCGACAATGGGGAACCCATGCGCTTTGGCCACGTGTACATGGGGGGCAACCGTGTGAGCATGACTGGCTACAAGGGCACTTTCACCCTCCACATCCCCCAGGACACTGAGAGGCTGGTGCTCACATTTGTGGACAGGCTACAGAAATTCGTCAACACCACCAAAGTGCTGCCCTTCAACAAGAAGGGGAGTGCAGTGTTCCATGAGATCAAGGTGCTTCGGCGGAAAGAGCCCATCACTTTGGAGGCCACGGAGACCAACATTATCCCCCTGGGGGAGGTGGATGGTGAAGACCCTGTGGCTGAGCTGGAGATCCCATCCAAGAGTTTCTACAAGCAGAACGGGGAGGCCTACACAGGAAAAGTAAAGGCCAGCGTGACCTTCCTGGATCCCCGCGATATTTCAACAGCCACAGCTACCCAGAGCGACCTGAACTTCATCAATGATGATGGAGACACCTTCCCCCTTCGGACTTATGGCATGTTTTCTGTGGACTTCAGAGATGAGGCTACCTCCGAGTCACTTAATGTTGGCAAGGTGAAGGTTCACCTTGACTCAACCCAGGTCAAGATGTCAGAGCACGTGCCCACGATGAAACTCTGGTCACTCAACCCAGACACAGGGCTATGGGAAGAGGAAGGTGACTTCAAATTTGACAGGCAAAGGCGGAACAAAAGAGAAGAGAGAACCTTCCTGGTGGGCAACATGGAGATCCGAGAGAGAAGGCTTTTTAACCTGGATGTCCCTGAAAGCAGGAGGTGCTTTATCAAGGTGAGAACCTACAGGAGTGAGAGATTCTTGCCCAGTGAGCAGGTCCAGGGGGTCGTGGTCTCTGTGATCAATCTGGAGCCCAGGACTGGCTTCTCATCCAACCCCAGGGCCTGGGGCCGCTTTGACAGTGTCATCACAGGCCCCAATGGAGCCTGTCTACCTGCCTTCTGCGATGACCAGTCCCCTGATGCCTACTCTGCTTATGTCTTGGCAAGCCTGGCTGGGGAAGAACTGGAAGCAGTGGAATCTTCTCCTAAATTCAACCCAAATGCAATTGGTGTTCCTCAGCCCTACCTCAATAAACTCAAGTACCGTCGGACAGATCACGAGGACCCACGGGTTAAGAAGACAGCTTTCCAGATCAGCATGGCCAAGCCAAGGCCCAACTCAGCTGAGGAGAGGAATGGGCCCATCTATGCCTTTGAGAACCTCCGGGCGTGCGAGGAGGCGCCACCCAGTGCGGCCCATTTCCGGTTCTACCGGATTGAGGGGGATCGGTATGACTATAACACTGTCCCCTTCAATGAGGATGACCCCATGAGCTGGACTGAAGACTACCTGGCATGGTGGCCCAAGCCAATGGAGTTCAGGGCCTGCTACATTAAGGTGAAGATCGTGGGGTCAGTGGAGGTGAATGTGCGATCCCGCAACATGGGGGGCACCCACCGGCAAACTGTGGGGAAGTTGTATGGAATCCGGGATGTGAAAAGCACACGGGATAGGGACCAGCCCAATGTCTCATCTGCTTGTTTGGAGTTCAAGTGCAGTGGGATGCTCTATGACCAGGATCGTGTGGACCGCACACTAGTGAAGATCATCCCCCAAGGCAGCTGCCATCGATCCAGTGTAAACTCCATGCTGCATGAGTACCTGGTCAACCACCTACCGCTGGCAGTCAACAACGACACCAGTGAGTACACCATGCTGGCGCCCCTGGATCCTCTGGGCCACAACTATGGAATCTACACTGTCACTGACCAGGACCCTCGCGTGGCCAAGGAGATCGCTCTTGGCCGGTGCTTTGATGGCACATCTGATGGCTCCTCCAGAATCATGAAGAGCAACGTGGGAGTGGCCCTCACCTTTAACTGCGTAGAGAGGCAGGTGGGTCGCCAGAGTGCCTTCCAGTACCTCCAAAGTACCCCGGTCCGATCCCCTACCCCCAGCACTATCAGAGGAAGAGTGCCCTCCAGGAGGCAGCAGCGGGCAAGTAGGGGTGGCCAGCGCAGGCCTGGAAGGGTGGCCTCTCTGAGGTTTTCTGGGGTTGCTCAGCAGCCTCTGAACAACTAAATCTTGTGGTACTTCTCTTCTCCCCACACCTCACGTGACAGCCATTGTGAGACTGATGCACAAACTGTCACTTGGTTAATTTAAGCACATCTGTTCTGGTGCAATTTGCTTGTTTGTGTCTTCATGCCTTTACTTACTGTCTTTGTCCATGATACTGATCGGCATGTAGCCTCCAAGTGGCAAAATAAAGCCTCTTTGATCTGTTCTTTAAAAGAAACACCAGAAATTGGCCATTGGCAAACTCTTTGGCTTTGACTGTTCTTCATTTAGTTCCATCAATGAAAATGCCCTTCCTTGTCTTTTTGCATGGTTTTGTCCACCTTTACGATAATGATAATCTGAAGTGGAAGATCAAATAACCAATATAAAGCATATTTCCTGGTCTTACTCTACAGGACGTAAGCAAGGTCTTCATCACAGTTCATACATATAAGTGGTGGTGAAATAAAATAATAAACTCTAATATTTTTACTTGAAATGTAAATACGTTATTTCTTTACTGGATCTGGAACTCTAGTGCACGTTTCATGTTAAGCTATTGAATATAAGGTAATCATAGCTCTCCGCCAAGTCTGGAAAGAACATCTCATATCTACAACTGTACCAGGTTGCTAATTACATAAGCACATTTCCCTTTAAATTTGCTTTTGTTCTTGCTAGGAGCCCAGCGCAGCCCAAAGCAGATGTCAATAAATGCACATTTTGTACTTGATTTTGAGACCACTGTCCTGTCTTTTAACCATTAAAGTGAGCCAGCTGCTCAGAAAGACATAAGGGACTCTGGAAAGCGATATCACAAAGTGGCATGAGCCACTGCCCCCTCTAAGTGACAGGGCTGGGTAATTAGACACACACTCCAGGGTCAAGTTTGTTCTCATGGATCATATTTTCCACTCCCAGAGAGGAGCAGAGATTCCTGGAGTTGTGAGCTTGTTCTGGGCTCCTCAGAAAAGCTAAACACATGTCCACATTTTTTTTCTTTCTTTCCAATACTGGGAAGCTTATACAATGGCTTGGCCCAGGGTCTGGTAAGCTGGCCAAGTGGTCTTTCGGCAACCCCCCACAGCCTGCTGCCTTCTCCATCTGGGCTGTCTGGCCTCAGAATTGATGGGCTTTTTCTTTTTTCTTTTCCTCCACCCCCAGGCTCTTCTAAAGACACCCAGCTTTCCCAGACACCAGATCTCTATTGTGTGTGACAGCCCCTATTCCTTGAGTAAAACAACTGGTCCAAATAAATAGGGTTTTGTTTTTGGAAAAGGTGATTGGTTTAAAATAGTAAATCAGAGGCTGGTGGATGGTTTCAGAGTGATCTTGGAGGCATCAACAGTCAGGGTAGTGAGGTGTGGGATTGGGTAAGATGCACTGACTGCCCCTTTCCCAACCCCTCCAGATCTGTCAGGAAAAGGCCATGGGGATTGGGAGAGGAGAGGGCATTATTTATAATCAGGACAAAAAGCTTTCCTTGATCCCCTGGCTGGCCTAATGCAGCTCCTTTTGGCCACCTCTGGCCTGGACTGGATTTGTACTCTTGGATCAGCATCTGCCCAACTCCCAGGGGTTTGGTTCATAATCAATTAGAAATTTCTCTGGCTGAGCACCCCTTCCCTATGACCTCTGAGAAAGTGAGCACATGCAGGGTTGGGACTAGTGGCCTTGTGATTGATTGCTCCTTGACTCACTTCCAGACTACACTTCCCAGGGAGCAGCTCTCACTGACTGCTTGGGGGTGGGGCTTGACTGACTGCTGAGGGGTCAGTGTGTAGCTAGCTATCTGCAGCATAGATGCCTGACTGCTTCAGGAGCCAATGAATGCTGCTTCAACCTGACCACCAGTTCCCTTCCAACCACCGAGAGGGGTGCTGGGAAAGGGGAGCTGGCTGGGCTCCCACCCCAAGACCTTCCCTTTTTGTTTTCATTGAGGGTCTGAATAAATGGACTCCAGCTGGTTGCAGCTGGTACCTGACTTTTTTTCTTCACTCATCAAACATTTATTGAGTGCCTATTTCTATGCCAAGCCATGTGTGCACGTGGACTGGACTTTATGAGTATATAAAATATACCATACGTAGTGGCACTACCACTTGGGGTGGTAGTCAGAGGAGCCTTCTTGGAGGAGGTGACAATTTGAGGTCTAAATGATAGGTAGGAGCTGAAGGTGTGGCTGTCAGGAGCAAGGAGCACAAGCAGAAACAGCTTGGAGGCTGGGAGGGAATGGCAGATACCTTTCTTTCAGACAAACACTGTTGAGCTCATGACACCTAATTTCTAAGCATCTTGCTTCCAAAGACATATGTGCTGCCTGCTAGCTGCACAACTTTATTCAAGTCAGTTTCCCTGGACCTCATTTTCCTCACCTATAAATGAAGGAGTTGGTTGTATACCTAAAACTAATATGTTAAAGGTGGAGGAGGGCATAAAGGGGATAAATGGTAATGGGGGGAAAAAGATAAAATAAAGAAAAAAACTAATACAATGTTATATATAAATTATATCTCAATAGATAGATAAGTAGATTTTTAAAAAATCAAGCAATTAGTCTAGATTAGAATCTAAACCATCTCTAAAGTCCTTTCCATGATTTTCAGTGAGGCTAAGAGCATAGTTCCCAGGTTGCCTTTGCGTCACCAAACTGCTGATGATTCACCGGGTGTTCCCTTTCCCTGTGGAGACTCTGCAAACTGGATGGACAAAACGTTCATTTCAGAAAAGCCCTGGGGTTTCTGTCTCAGCCTGCAGTATACTGGCTGTTCACCCAGTTACTGAGTGAACTGTATGAGGGTGGATACCAGACAGCAGGAGGGGCACAGGCAGAAAGACAGCAGGGCCAATCAGGCTGCTTCTGCTTCCAGCCAAGGAAGTGTTCCAGGCTGAATGCTCTTTATAGTTTGGAGAGCTCTAGCAGCTAGGGTGATAGAGGAAAATGTCAGCGAGATGTCAGGACAAGAACAGAGTCTTGAAAGACTGAGAAAACTTAGACAAGCCAAGTTGGAGGCAGTGTGGGGATAGGTGGTTTCCAGCACAGGGATTGGCTAGAGCCAAGGAGTTGAGGTGGGACTGCACACTGGGAGGCTTTTGGTTACAAGAAACCCGGGTGCCAGCAGACATCAGGAAGGACTGGAACCAGGAACTGCAAAGCCATGGAATCCAGGCCATCGCTCTCTCTGGTTTTGATTCTCTCACTCTCAGTGGCTTTTGCTCTCTCTCGCTCTCTAACTCAGTCTTGCTCTATATGCTCTATTTCTCAGATTGGCTCTCTGACTTTGTTTCTCCTCTTTCTAGGTCTCTCTGGTAAGCCTATTTCTCAGTCTCTCTTCTTTGCAGGAACCCTTAGTTTCTCTTTGCAGATCAGCTTTCTCTGCTCCTCTGGGTTCATAGAAGAGGTGGCCATTTCTTCAGATCAAAGAAGAGACCTGTCCTAAGCCCAGATTTCTTGGAGAGAGAATCTGATTGGCTCAGTTTGAAATGGGGCTCCACCTCTGGTCTAGCCAACTGTAGCTATATTGAGGAGGTGGGGCCTAAAGGGCAGCCTGATTAGTCATGGTTGCTGGAGAGGTGGGGCAATTCTCTGAGAAAGGGAATCCTGATGAATTGGGGAGATACTCCAAAAGGTGAATACTTCAGGGGACAGTGAGCAGATTATTGTGGGCTTACTGGGAGTTTAGGGATTTTCATTTCCAAACACCAAGGGATTTTAAATGCATCAAATGAGATCTGTGTGATACTCGTTCTTTGAAATCTGATGTCTTGCTTCATGACTTAGTACTTGGTCAGTTTTTGTAGTTTCCATGTGCGATTGGGGAAAAAAAAGGTGTATTCCCTAATCATTGGGTGCAGGTTTCTACATAAGACCATTAACTCAAAGTTGTTAATTGTTCAGTTCAGTAAATAAGGAGTGTGTTGAAATTGTCCACTAGGTGATGCGCTTGTCAATTTCTCTCTGTGATTCCCCAATTTGTCTTTATATATTTTGAGGTTATTTTTAAAAATTTATCTTTATTGTTGAAAGTATTACAGATGTCCTATTTTGAAGTTTTCTTAATGGATGCCTATTATGTATTGAATTTTCATGTGTTCTTGTGAGTTGAATCTTTTATTGTTATATGCATAATTATGTTATTTGTTCCATAATTTTTTTTGTCTTAAAGCCTATTTTGTATAATAATATATCTCCCAATTTTCTTTTGGTTAGTATTTGCTCGGTATATCTTTTTGCTTTTAACCTTATGTATCTCTTTTTCTTTTTGTTAGTTTATTTTGTTCATTAGATTCCACATATAAGTTCATATGGTACTTGTCTTTCTCCGACTGGCTTATTTCACTTAGCATAATACTCTCCAGGTCCATCCATGCAGTCACAAAGGGTAATATTTCCTTCTTTTTTTTAAATGGCTAAATAGTAGTCCATTGTGTAAATGTACCATAGCTGTTTTATCCACTGATGGGCACTTGGGCTGCTTCCAAATCTCGGCTATTGTAAATAACGCTGCAACGAACATAGGGGTGCATGTATTCTTTCGAATTAGAGTTGCAGATTTCTTCGGATATATTCCCAGAAGTGCAATCACTGGGCTTCTGTGTCTTTTTAAAATGTGTTTCTTGTAAACAGCATATAGCTGGATTTTAGTTTATATAATCTAACAATCTGTCTTTTAACTAGTGAGTCTAGTAAATACATATGGTGATTAGCTGTACTTGGACTTGTTTCTATTATCTTACCTGTTGGGATTTTTTGTTTTGTTTTGTTTTGTTTTGAGTCCTCGCCAAAGGATATGTTTTCCATTGCTTTTCAGAGAGTGTGGAAGGGAGGGAGGGAGGTGGGGAGTAGTGGAGAGAGAAACATCAAAGTGGGAGAGACACGTGGACTGGTTGCCTTCTGCATGCGCCCTGACCCGGGGCAGGGAGCCAACCTGCAACCCAAGTACGCACCCTTGACTGAGAATTGGACCCTTGGGTACACGGGCCGACGTTCTAACCACTGAGCAACACCAGGCGGGGTGGGTTTTTTTGTTTTTGTTTTTTTTTTAAATCACTTTTTCTGTTTTACTGTCAGCTTTAGGATTGAGTAATATTTTTCCTATTCAATTTTTCCCCTTATATTGACCTGGGAGTTTTACACTTTTTCTATTATTTTAGTGTTTTCTCTTTATTTTATACAAACTGACTTCAACAAAATCAAAGTTAAAGTGTATCTTCAGCCCTGGCCGGTATGGCTCAGTTGGTTGGGTGTTATTAAGTGCACCAAAAGGTTGCTGGTTCGATTCCTGGTCAGGGCACATGCCTGGATTTCCGGCTCAGTCTCCAGTAGGGGGAGTGCAAGAGGCAGAGGATCATGTTACACTCTCACATGGATGTTTCTCTCTTCTCCCTTCCTCTCTCTAAAAATCAATAAACTATTAAAAAATTGTATCTTTACCCCTCAAACAATATTTTAGTTCTTTTTTTGCTCCTCAAAGCAAACATTTAAAAAAAAAAGTCTTTATTGATTTCAGGGAGAGGAAGGGAGAGGGAGAGAAAGAGATAGAAACATCAATGATGACTCATTGACCAGCTGCCTCCTGCATGCCCCCGAATGGGGATCGAGCCTGCAACCCGGGCAAGTGCCCTGACCGGGAATCGAACCTCGAACTCCTGGATCATAGGTGAATGCTCAAGTGCTGAGCCATGCTGGCTGGGCAGGCCAGGGCTCTTTTCAGTTTTTTATTAGAAATCAAG